AAAATCTTTTTCCAACAGCTTATTTTTAGCAACATATCTGTAGTTTCAAATCAATACCTGAATTATAAAAGGCGCAGAAGGAGGTGGGCAGAGGGTGTGGCTACCCTGGGTGTCCATATCAGGAGAGCATCCAATAAAATGAAATAAAATTTTTGTTTGAATAAAGTGTTTATTTGCTGCTCAGTGACATGGTGTTTGGTGATGCCCAGCCCAACTCTTTGATTATATACCCTTAAGACTCAAGTAGGGAGGGTGACCTATAGGTTTTTATATATATAAAATGGCTTCCTTTCTCACATTTCTCAGTACTAGGCACTATAGGCACCTCCCCCCTACTTGAGTCTTAAGGGTATATAATCAAAGAGTTGGACGGGACATCACCAAACACCATATCACTGAGCAGCACTTATCAATTAAAATGTGTATATGAGCAAAAAAGAACTCCTTGCCTGGGATAGGGTTAAGCTTAAGATCACATCTGGGAAACTTTGAGAATTTAATTGAATAACAGTAATAATAGTCTGTTTGGCTTGTTAATCATCACACCATGAAAAAGTATTTCAAATATTTGCTTTGTTTAGACTGGCATAATGCCATAATAGCAAAGCTCCCAGTGACAAAGTTGCCTTATCAGGTAAACATTAATTCGTAGTGAAGTTACCTGTTTAGTGTTATGATTACCCAAATGATAGCTGATGAATTTAAAAAAAAAAAAAATGTTACATATGTTCCATGATAATTGTCACATATACATTCACATTTTCTGCAACAACTCTTCAACCCAACTCTATAACTCCAAGGAAGTTGACATGACATGACATGACATGACTAATGAATTTGCCAAAAGTTCATAAGCTTTTCAGTAACTTTAGGGTTTGTTTGTTTTTTGGGTTTTTTTTTTTTTTTAAGCAACATATCTGTCATATTTGACATTGATTTCAATGTAAATTTTGGAAACACAAAAATCCAATCCAAGATTGAAAATCACTTCATGGTACAACCATCTGAGAGGTTCTTTGAAAAACTAATTAATCAAGTCTATTCCCAAAATGAAGTTTATATAAATGGTGTACATACATGCAGAAATCAGTTTTCAAGAGATCTTCAGGGTGTGTGTGTGTTGAAGTTAAAGCTTGAGAGAAAACCAGCAACCCTGCCCATATTCTTTTTTGAGAAATTCTGCCATAGAAGTTATTTGTTACAAAGTTGCTAGCACACTTGCATTTCTTATAACCAGAGGTCTCTCAGTGGCTCAAGAGTAGAAAAGTAGTGATTAGGATGAAACGGTCCCATTCAACAGCTTCGTTTATTCTGTTGGTATGTTTATACCCTTTTCAGCAAGACTGCCCAACATTAAAGAAACAGTATGATCGAAAGCTTGCCCAGATGAACAAAGCCACAGCTTGTCATTTTCTAACCAGTACCCAACAAACGGAATCCACAAGACAACACAAATTCCAGTGAAGGAAATGAACCAACAAAACTGATTACACCAAATGCCAGCCGCCTTCACTGAGGTGTGTCCACCTCCTCCTCTCCAGGTATGATATTTGAAATCTAGACAGGTGTGTTGTATTTTTTATCAGTACAAGTATGAGTTATGCCTAGTGATTATGGCCTAAGGTAGGGTTATTTTTATACACTATATACAACAAACATTAGTAAACGGAAAGAAAAAAAAAAAAAAACAATGTTATGTATGAGAGATTCAGTCAAATCAAAGTGTATATAACCCTTTCTATATAATATTTTTCCATGATCCAAGCTTTCTAAAAATTTTCAAATTTGCTTCTTTATTTGGTGTTTTAACTGATAAGTCGTCCACTTTGAGGCTTTATTACAATGGACAAGTCAATACACTAAAAATTCTACAATCAGTAGTTTCAGATATTGTTTTATTTTCACATCCTAAATTCTGTGAGCATCTTTAGCAGTTTCAAGTTCTTATTTAAACTAATGCCACAACATTGCCAAAATCTTAATACTGTACTCTGCAAAAATCCATGTAAAAATGAGAAAGAACAAAATGAGTATTATTATTATTATTATTATTATTATTATTATTATCTGGTTGTTATGTTTTGTTGGAGACACAAGAGACAATAATACAGAAGGTAGTGAAGGAGAGTGAGGAAGTACAAAGCATAAGCCACAAGACAGTGTGATAGTGAGAATGTCACGTGTTTGTGTAGAGGAGAAAAGTGGTGTCTATTGTTATTGGTTTAGAAAGAATGAATTATAATTATTATAATTATTTTTGACACTATAATTAATTTTTATTTATTTACTTTTTAATAGACATGACACAGTGACAGTATAATTAATTTTTTATTTATGTATTTCTTTATGGACATAATAGTACTTGTAACTGTCATTATAAAATCTGAAAGAAAAGATATATATATTTTGTGTTTATACATTATTAGATACAATTTATTCAAGTAAATGGTTTTTTAATTAAACAGTATTAATTACATTTACCAGCCTGAATGTATGAGAAATTTTGTAGAAAATATGCATTCTCTGACAGGAATTGAGCCTTTATTCCGATACGGAAACCATTATTTCAGCTAACATATACCATTTAGTTACAAAGAAGCGTTTGGTTAGCAAAGTCTGAATTACTGTTTTAAACACAATCTTCAACAATTTTTCTCAATTGATCATATCTACTCATGAAATGTATCTTAATGTAAACAATGAAATCATAAAGTGGATTAAGTCTGACAATTATTTAATATATTTTCTGCTTATATGTTATTTTTATACATACAATTTATTTAAGTAAATGTTCTATCCTTTAATTAAACAGTATTAATTCAGGCCAGTAAATATAATTAATACTGTTTAATTGGACTTTGCTAACCAGATGATGTGGTGGCAATATTCAATGCAGGGATGAATGGTAAACTTATAAACATACAATATGGATTCTGGTGAAAAAATTGTCTAGAACGACACAGTGAGCCAAATTTCAAATTTGATATAATCATTTCACTTCCTGTCGGTGGAAAACATGAGACCAAGAAGGCACAATGAGTTGCTTTTCTGGTGGTTAGCATCAGCCATACTGATGGAGGGCAAAAATGATTCTCTAAGATGTCCTCTGTTACCTGTAGATGTCTCTCTTGGTGTACCTGTTAACTAATTGCTGACTAGTTGATGGGTCCTTGTATTTATGAATGAACATATTTCTTTCGGATGTCAGGTTAAATTTGATTTTTATATATGCATGGTAACAGGATCAGGGGGAAAGGGTTTTGGTGACTATTCTCTGGGTCATGTACCAAACCTTTGACCTCATATATGGCAAAGTAGTATTAGAAATAACAAAATTCCTTTCTTGAATTTTGGCTAAGATCCAACCTAGCATCATCCAGCTGGTTTATCTTGCCATTTTTCTAATGGTGACTAGGGTCAAAGGGTTGGTTTTATTGTTTGTCCAATTCTGCTACAGAGTACCCCACAAAACAATAAGAAATTTGGTATAGTTTATTTAATTGTTGGAATTTTTGTGGGATTATTGTTCCAAGCTTCTATCAACACAGTTTTAAGGATTGTATGTCTGTGATGTCTCTCTTCTGTAATTGAAGTTTTGATATAACAGTAAACCCCACATGGGTTCATCGTATAGTAAATTTAAAATTTCCTTTTTTTTTTTTTTTTTTTTTTTTTTTTTTTTTTTGTGTGTGTGGCACCCTGTAATTAAAACCCCTATTATGTCATGAATTCAAACCTAGGCAATTAACGTGCTAATTCAATTTATTTTAATTAAATACATTTTGTTTCTCCAACAGCTCATGAGAAAAATCAGACCCCAAGATACTTTTGGTATGCTAGCAAAATCCAAATTATTAGCTTGGCTATTTAAGTTCACATCAACTTATCAAGTTAATTCCAACTGATCAGGTATAAATTCATTTACTAGTAAAATCTGCACCAGTAGCTTTTATATTGTAGCAGTAGGTAGTTTTTAGGTCTCTCTCTTTCTCCTTTTTTTTTTTTCTAAATTGATTTCACCCCAAGCAAAGCAGTAAAGCCACTAAGACACAAGGGATGTGAAAGAATTAGAAAACGGAAACATTACTCTTTTCTCTCCTCATTCATTAGTAATCAGGAGGACAGTAGAAAGTCATTGACATTGCATTTAAATTTTTGCAGATTAAAGTTGGCTGGAAAGCATGGAGCCAGAAGGGAGTTACACAAGCAAGAATTGCGAGAAAAGAAACTTAGCACATAATTTACAGTTACATCTAGCCAGCTCTTCTGTAAATTGAGGAGATCTTGACACTAGTGAATAAATTCAAAAAGTCTTGGTACCATAGCAAAGATGTCATCTGAACAATTACCATCAACATATTTATAAAAAAGGCACAGGGAGATTGCAGAATGTGAAAAAGAATTTCAATAAAAATGAGAAAAATGTGCTTAGAATCATTATAATTCTGCCAATTCATTCATTCAATACTACTTACGTTATGCTATGCCATTGCCTCAGATAAAAAATGAGCCAATCCTATTTGATTACGAGGTTAAATGAAAGAAAAGGTATATCAAAAGGTACTATTTTATTTTAAGGGAAGAAAGGGAAGATAGAGAGGCTCTAAAGCTCAGCTCATGAATATAACGGCTGTCTCAGTGCATTAGAAAATCTTCTACCCTCTTACTTTTTTAAATAAGGACCTGCATTCATATTTATGAACATTATTGTAGTTTTTTTTTTTTGTTTTTTTTTTTAAATTAATATTTAATGAGGCCAAGGTGGGGGGAGTAATTGCCATGGAAATCACAAGGAGTTTATAAGATTTGAAATTTCATCAGAAAATTGAAGTAAAATCCTGGAATTTTCACAGGTATTTCTCACTGCTATTATTTTGTAGTTCTTTATCTGATAATTGCAAGTTAAATTTTATCCCTCAAACTGTTGCAGGAATCACTAGTATCTTTCATAGAATTTGGTCATGTAGTTCTTCCTTTATAGAAGGCTTATGGATATATGTTGAAAGACCATTTCTCATTCGACCACCAAAGTTAAGCAATATTGAGTCCTGTCAGTACCTAGGTGGGTGACCACCTGGGAATAGTAGGTGCTATAAGCATAGATGTGCAGGTGGGGCAATGGATAATGGCTTGGAATTGGAGATTTGAGTTTCAATTGGAAGTCTTCAAGTGATGTGGTTTTTATTTGATAAAGCTCTGTGATTTTGTAGTGCCAGAGTCTATATAAGCTTGTCTTCTTCAGAACTTAAAGGATTTAATCACTTGAAACCATTTTTAAACATTCATCTGTGAAAGCAGTTGTATATGGATGCTAATTTAGACCAGGGATTCACCATCTTTTTTGTGTCATCACCCACTTTCACATGGAAAAATTTTCCACCAACAATCTGTATAGTAGATATTCAAAAGTATTCTAAAATTGTTTGGTAAATGTTCATTACTGATTCATTAACTGACTTATGATGTAGTAAAAAATACCAAAGGGAGGTAACAAATAACACTGACTTAGTGGCAGCTGCTGCTACCATATTAAAGAATAATTGAAAGCAAACTTGACCATTAAACACACAGACACACACACATATATATATATATATATATCTCATAAAGAAGTAAATATACAAAGAATTAATGGCGAAATCCCTTCACTAACAATTAATAAGACTTAATGAGACATTAACTTACTATTAATTCCTTGAATAACGTGATTCTTATATTTGAATTGTTGAACAGATGGAATTAATTATCCTGTGCCAAGTGCTTTTTGACAATTTCAAATTGTCATCTTCAGGGTGTAATATTTCTATTTACATGTAAACTCCGAGATGAAATAAATGTAGTGTAGACTGAAAGATGTTTTTTAAAAATATGCCTTTTTATTGACAATTATATTATTTTGGAAAAAAGAAACTACTAAGACATTTTAATCTATTAATTGGACTAATACTTTGGTCCGTGTTACTTTAAACACTACTTGCAACATATCTATTCTAGTGTTCCTTCCAAGATTCTTGATAAAATCCAATAAAGGATCTGCAATGTAATCGTTTCTGACCTGGTATCTCAACTTCAATCACTTTCCCACCACTGTGATGTGCTTTCTCTGTCTTTTTTATAAATATTTTCATAGCAATTGTTCTGATGAGCTCGCTTCCTGGTACCTTTATCACATGAATTTAAGTATTTTACTAGATTGGGAGTTAGGTCTCATCATTTTATTGTTGAAATTGTTAAATGTCACCATAACTGTTTCATTCTTTGCACTTTTCGCCTGTGGAATTCCTTTCTGATTTCTTGCTTTCCTGGCAACTTCAAAAATTTAAATGCAACGTCAATCACATTCTTGTTTTCCTGAATCCTGTTCTTGTATTGTCCTTTCTCCTCACAAAAGTACTCTCATTCTTTTTCACTCTTAGTAATACATTGTGTCTTAGTAGCATTATCACATTGGATTATATATTTTTTGTTTTATTATTTCAATTAGATTCCCCAACTAGTTTTGGACCGCATGGCCATCATCAGGAGAAAAAAAAATTCTGCTTATTACTAGCCATGATCTACAGGAATGAATGACTTTCTGAAGAAAATGAACAATATCTGTAGTTTTCATTTGTTTCTTTATTAATTTTAGTCAGTCTTTGTGCTGGTCAAACAACCTCTTTTAACTTGTTTTTTAAGATAGAGGCTGGATGGATTCATGCTCTTCTGAATTCCCTTGGTCATTTTGACAGTTTTATTGGTTCCTGGGAAGGGGATGTGTCTGTGTTAAGTGTGTGTTATCATTTAGTTTTTGGGGAGTGTGTATAATGTGTGTAAGTGTATATATTAGTATGGGTGTGTGTATAAGTGTGAGATCTCAACACCTCTGTAAGCATGTCCGTCTTGTGTGGGGTAAAAAATGTGGGTAGGGCTTGATTTATGGGGTTATATATTCTATTGATATTGTTAAATTTGTCATTAAGCCCATCTGGATGGAGTGTTTTTAAGGTGCAAAATCCATTTGCCTTCTAAAATTTTTCTAATGTTATCTTTTCTGTACTTTTCTATTTTCTCAATTATAGTGAATTTGGCATGGCTTTTAAAATCATATTTTTCTAGGCAGAAACACTGTTCTACAGGTAATAATCTTTCATGGGGAACTGACTTAATTCGATTGCGATAATTATTAATACTGTAGTGAAAGGGCCATTTGGATTTTCCCACATATTGTTTCTGGCAGTGTGCATTCTAGGAGGTAAATTATGTTATGACTTCTACAATTGTCGTGGTAGATTTTGAAAGTAGATTTAGTGACTGAGCTAGTGAATGAATTAGTGTATCTAATGTGGTTACAGCATAGCTCCTTTTGTTGTTATGTGGTTGGGAAAATCCTGTTTTTATTTTTGGTTTATTACGGATTACCTTATGAAATGTGGCTACTTAAAGGTCTGTGATATGCTAGAAGGCCAGGTTCATCAAACAAAATTTTTAGGTCTGTAGTATTTCCCAGTGACTTTTGATTATCTGGGATAGTGGAGGAAGTGTGGGGTTGAAAGTGGTTACTAGAAGGATGTGTCTGGATTTATTTTTAATTTTATACATTAGGGTGTCTTCTCTAGGTGTGGAAATTGCTTTATTTGTTTCCTGATTAGGTGTTGTTTATAGCCATGTGTTGTGAATTGATGCTCCAGATTTTGAGTGTGTTTATTTAGAAGGATATGTTCCAACAATGAAGAACTAAGTGCTTGTGTATAGGGAAGGTTCTCCTTGAGGTGTTTAAGGTGGGAAGATTTAAAGTGTAGATAATTTTAGTATGTAGTGTTGTTTGTTATTCTCTGTTTTTATCTATTTAAATGTGGGTATCTAAAAATATTACTGATCTTGTGGAATTTTCCTAGTCAAACTTAATTGAGTCATGTACTATGTTTAGGGTTATGAAGAATTGAGTGAGTTTATCCTCACTGCCCATGTATACAAAGAAGATATCATCGATATACCTAGCATGGAATATATAGTCACTACTGATAAAGGGACAGATATGGGTCTCCTCAAATTTTCCCATGAAGATTGTAGGATATGATGGAGCTGCAATGGTGCACATGGCACAGCTTATTGAAGTTGAAAGTATTCAATGTAAGAATATGCTCCATTAATTTTATGATAACTTTTGTTTTCTTGTTTTAGTAAGTGCTTCCTGAAGGGCGGTTAGTCCTTTGATGTGTTTAATGTTTGAATAAAGCGATCTTACGTCCATAGTCACTAGAATAGCATTTTCTGGCACTGTATGTGATTAATTTTGTTTAGTAGATCTGTTGTGTTTCTGATGTAGGATTTTACTTCCTTAGCTAGGGGCTGTATGTAATGGTCTACGAATTTCGAAATTTTGTTTGTGTGGCAGTTATATGATGAAATGTCTGGCCTTCCTGGTTTGTTGTTTCTGTGTATTTTAGAAAGGAGATAGAAGGGAGCAGGTGTGATGTTTGTGGGTGTAAGTGTTGGGCATGTTTTCTTGACAATTAGATTGTTGCAAAGCATTATGTTTAGTGAGCTTGTTAATTCTTTTTGGTATTTGGGAAGAGGATCTGTGCGTAGGCTTTTGTAGGTTTTTTTTTTTTTTTTGTCAGCTAGCTGATTGTTGGTCTTTGATTCCCCAGATCACTGTGGCACCCCCTTTATCAGCCTGTGTAATGATTAGGTCATCTCTATGTGTCAGTGTGTCAAGGGCCACTGGTTCTCTTTCAGTGATATTGTTATGTGGCTGCTTACGTGCTGTTGTTTTCTTTGTCATTTGTTACTGCCATTTCAAATGTCTGTATAGTGTTTTGTGGGATGAATGTAGAGTTCTTCTCTCTCTTAATGTTTTGAGTATGGAAGGTGTGTGGTTATTGTCTTCATAGTAGGCTTTTAGACATATTCTTCTAAAGGAGGATTTCATGTCCTTTGCCAAGGTGTCCTTATCAGACCTTGGGGGACTAGGACAAAAGCTTAGTCCTTTTGTATATATCAGATTACTTGTCAGCTGTCAAACCTCGAGCACTTAGCCATGGAGCGGGTAGAATGGAGATCAACGTGTTTTAATGGACTCAGCAATTTTCAATCTTGTCTGAATCATCTTCAAGAAGTGAGAGCAAGATCTAAAAAGTCAGCCAATCTAACAGTGATCACATCTCACAATCCTCACACTTGCTCCATATGTGGCTTCCTTTGTAAATCACTAGCGGGTCTTAAGTGCCACTTAAGATTATCGCACAAAAATTCATTACTGAATCAATTGATTAAGTTGTCAGAGCCTCATACATCGAAACCGATGAGAGAGTCCATTATATTAGATTAAAATAATATATATATCTGACTGTTCTTTCAAAAAATAAATTCTAAAGAACTGTGGATTATTAATCTGACTGTTCTTTCTATTTGTGTGTGTGTGTGTGTATATATATATATATATATAGTAATAAATACTGCATGACAAAGAATAGCAATGATAGCACTTTCTCAAAGGGAATAATATTAATATATACAGTAAAAAAATATAACAACATTTATAAATATTAAAATGTATACTACAACTTGTTAAAGTTTATTTACTTTGTGTATGTAGTGGAAAATGGAGTTTTTTTTCTGTAGTGATCATATAGAGGGGACTCAGATTGATTTATTATTCTGAATCAGAGAAGCTATGAAGTTCCTCTGAATCATTGCTAGTGGCTACTACAGGTATTTGTTCAGTGCTGGTGCTTGGGATGCTCTGGCCAGGTGTTGGAAAGACATTTGGGGTGGGTTTCAGCTTAAAAATGAATCCAACTTGCTTTCCACACTTATATGAATTATTAAATCTCATAATCTGCAGGCTTGAATGGAAGGATTATCTGTTGCATAAATGAATTATAAAAGAGAGTGTTAATGGAATCTTGTACATGAGACATTTAACTACCACCTCTACCTCTGGGTCACTGGAACTCTCAACTGAATCATCACCAGCCAGAATTGATTCTGCTATTTCCTCCATGAAAAGACCTTGGTAACTGGTGTTAAACATACCACTTGTACACTGCTTCTTCCAGTTCCTTCTGTTTGTTCCTTTACACCATACGCCTTACACACTTTTGTGATCA